CAATGAATTCACCACCACAAAAATCTTTAGAATTCGTCCAGTACGAGCTGAGGTACAAAGGTGTGTCGCAGGCTGCAATTATATTAGTTCCTTTCTTGTCTCAACAAGAGCGCTTGAAGCTAAGCCGGGAGAGATAACATGGAGAAAGAAATGCGTCACGCGCGTCTCAGGATCTTGAGCACAGTTTCTCTTTCTCTATTTTTCGAATAAGTGGCTTTTCATTGCGATATAGTGCACACGAGTGGACAAGTCATGGCATCCCATGGTGGCCCATGTAACGACCGAGCCTGCCATGCTCAAATAAGCCAATGGCTGGTACAATGGCTGTGACGAGTTATTTTTGAGCTTGTAGCGTCATTTGTATGGACAAAAAAAAACAATTTCAGCTGACTACGAGAACTCATTGTGAATTCCAGGCCGCGCGGTGTAATATATTACTCGTGAGTTCTCGGGAGCCTACCGTTCGGCAGTGTTTTTTGACCATCATAAAAAGTGTGGCTGGGCCATAGTAAGGCTTTAAAAGTGCGCAAAGTACAGTTTTTTGGTATTTTTGACCACGGTGCGTTGTAACCATGTCGTCACAATGGCCATTTCTGAACGTTTCTGCCGCGAGTATATTTGGCGCAGGTTTGGTTTACTAATGGGCTTCTGGTGTGCTCCTTTGCGCAGACCCGGTGCTGCAGTGCAATCGATGCCCGAAAACTTTTTTGTTGACAGAAGAAGGGGATTACATGCACCCGGAGGAGTGCGTCTACCACCGGGGTCACCTTCGATATAACATCGGTGAGTGTCCTTGCAATTCACCGTGGTCGCACGAGCACTTTTCTTTTTCGGTGTTCATTTTTCACCGCTTAAAGCAGCCCTGTGGCTGCTTTGGAATGATTTCCCGTGTTATCGCCATCCCAACTATAATGTTTACATGTCAAGAATCATCCGTACTTTGCACAACTCAAGCGACCGTTAACGGTTATGCACGACCTCTAAAGAAGTGACGCGTGCGTTCGCTCACACGAGCACATACACTGGCACAGTGGAACTCGGCGGAATTTGCCAACGCTCGTGTTCACAACTTGAACCCGAATCTGAATCTCCGTCTCCCGTCGGGAATCGAGCTGAAAAGACGCTCGTGTGGTCACGAGTGCTCGCTCTTGTTGGATCGGAATGGCCAGCAACCCGACATGTGATTACTGTATATATACATGGGGACAATCGCCTATTTTATTTGTTAGTGTACGTGCTCCATTGCGCCAAAAAATTACTTTCCGAAGTGTTACATAGACTTGACAATTGTCCGTTATTGTAGGAAAATGTTTTTAAGACATGTGCGCTGGTCAGGACCGTTTTAGGCGCAAGGCCTTGTTGCGCTTTTTTAGGGCAACTGGCCTTGGAGACACATTTGAAGTAGCGACTTTTAGCGTGTTCTCATTTTGTATCTTATTCTTTTTGTAAGATCCTTTTTTCTATAATTTTTTATTCCCCTTAGCCACTTTCCTAACATGGAGTAAGTAATTGTTTCGAGGACTGGCTGAACTTTCGGTCTTTGTTCCTGTTCACCTACTAACTGTTGCGTATACCCACTTTAGAGGGTTCACTCTAAAAAATATAGAGTAAAAAGGGTGTCTTTTTGACCCACAACAATAACCATCAGGCTTGCGTGCGCTTCCTTTCTTGAAAACTCGGCGCTGGCCACTTTCCTATCGAGAATGCAATGTAACCCTGATAATGGGCATCTCGATCGTGATCGGAATGTACTGGGCGTGGGGCCATAGCGGAAGGATGGAGCGCAATATAGATGACGATTATTGTTGTGGGACAAAAAGACACCCTTTTTACTCGCTCTTTTTTTTAGAGTGTTGGCTTATAATTAAGCGCTTTTTTGAAGTGTGATGTTTAGAATAATGGAGGTTATATAACAGAAAGATTGTAGAATACAGACAAAATTATGGTGCTGGATGCATTGTATACGCGTATTAAAACATTTTGTCCTAAATAAAAGCTAATAAAATGAAGCTATATACTTATTTTTCATACACATATAATGGTGTGCATGCGTAAGGACAGTAATGCAAATTAGTCAACCGAATAGTTTCATTAATGTAATTCCTGACAGCCACGAAGATGTTCGTTCTGGACAGAGGTTCCAAAAGACAAAATTAAAGGAACAGATGATTTCGCTGTATTACCCCGTAACGGTATTTCTAAAATAGTTTTCATACTGCAGTAAACCACCTGAACGTAAAAAAAAGTCACATCTTTGCCGCAAAGGTGCAGCAATGAACGCGATAGCAGCAAATTTGAAGGTCACGCGAAGAATGGCAAGGAGATCGAAACGTGCCCCACGTTTCTCACGCACAAATGCACGAAAGTTACTCACAGGCATACAGATGAACGCGAATAAGCGTCTCAGTTACTTCGCTGTGTCTGAAGAGCGCGCCCTTTTCGCCAACGGAGGCTGTGCAACAATTTCAGGGATCTTTGTGCGCCCGGTAACTACAACAAAATCGTTCCAGTGAAAGCCCAATGTGTACGATATCTTCCTTAGAAGTAATATACTATGATTATCCTCACCGCGTGATAAGCGAGTGCTCACGTCAGCATCCCCTCTCTACGGGACAAAGTACGCGTGAGAGATGAGAGTGCGCTCCGCTACGCCGTGACGATCTGGCGATGCTTGCTCATTGCACTATCTGGCTGGTAATGCTATAAACACGATAGTTCTCACAAGATGCCCCTCGCCAGCGGTAAGTGGTAGATATATATAGCTCGCCATTTCAACGCTGAAGACGGTGCTCTTTCGTGGCACAGTGGCTAACGCTTGCACCCACAATTCAGATGTGGGACGTTCGTTTCCGCGCGCCGGAGTCTTTTTCTGGATCATTTTTTCTTTCTTGCGTTTTCATATATATAGGTACGTATACATATACGGTGAATGACGGCGACGTTGATGTTGACGCTGAAGCTGGCGGCAAAATCTAGCCAAACGTATTCATATAATTCGTATCGCAATAAAAAAAAAACCCATTGTTTCCAGCTCACCACACAACGCGCACAGTGGTGAATTCAGGTGCCCGAGCACACCTGTGTTTGTAGAAATTTAAGCTTAGTACCCACTAGCACAGCCTAGTGATAGCTACTTGTAGTTTACGAGTTTGACAGAAGGACCTCCGCCAGGAATACAATAAATACCGATATTCGGTGGAGTTTGTCAGTGCTGCGTCTCCAAAGACTTCGATAATCATACGCCGCAAATTTGAGCAGTAGTCACATGAGATGATGATAGAAACAATGGTAAAATTGCTCTACTAATTGACCATTTGGCTAAAGAACCTGTCATTTCATTTAGAAACAACCTTCATGTCCAGGCACCCAAACTAATCGAATTTTTCTCAAATGCGCAGCTACTATAGTGCACGGAGCGCCTTCATCACGTGAGATTCAGCACCAACAGAAAGTGCTGAACAAAGAGAGAATATGTTATTAGATCAGCTCATGTAATTGCCACGTCTAACTTGCATATGTATACGGCGAGAACTACTACCAAAAAGTCAGCCACAAAAACAGATATGAAATCGGCTAGTCGAAGGGTATAAGGCCAATCTAAATTTGGGCTAAATATACCAACTTCTTACTTTTCGTAACATTGTGATGCGTCTGTAGCAATAACAACATTTGTTGTAATACGGTGCATATGATCTTGTAGTAAACTATCTAAAATATTCTAGAGAAGTAATTTGGCGTTATTAGGAAAAATGCTGTCAAATGGAATTTCCATAAGATATATATCATCACGAGTCGAGATTATATTGCATTTACGTACGTTGAGACAGACAGGCAGACCCAGAACTTTATTGGGTCCTGAGAAACTCTACTCTTTCAGAGCAACGTCGGGAGCCACTCCCACGTAGGAATGAAGAGGCCTAGCCTTACCGCCGCATTGTAGGCTCACTGGACAGCCCGAAGTTGTGGTAGTAACTCTGAACTTCGTAAGGCAGAGTCCCAATCCTCTTCTGTGAGTTGACTTGGGCCCCGTAACGAGGGGCACTGCCAGAGCATACGTTCGAAGTCACTGACCTCGCCACAATCAGGACAAGTAGAGGCAAAAGCCTCTGAGAGACAATGCTGAGGAAAGATCCCTTGGATAGGACCTGGTCTGGAGCATTTCAAATGTGATTGCTTGTGGTCTAAACAACTTGCTGAGTGAAGGAGCAAATGACCGCCTACTCAAATGGTAGTGTTTAGCCACGTTGAGAGGCCCCAGTAAATTTTGCCCTGTACGAATACTTTTAGACGCCTAGGTGAGGCAACCGTTTAGTGTGCCGGACGGCAACCAGACAACAGCTAGCGGTTTTAGCACAAGCAGCACGAGCCTCCCCCACACCAAATGTCTTCTTGGTCATTCCTATAGCAGTGCCCGTATTTGTCCCTACAATGATTCCCTGCTGAAAAAGGAGCCATCCTGGCAACCTATGGCACAGGCAGAACTGGCGGGTCGTAGTGAAGTTTCAAACGGTCGACTTGCACAGTTTTGCGCACATGGCCCCATTGATCTGCAGATGGCTCAATAAGCTCAACAATGGGGTTTACTGGTGATGTCTAGTGCAGGACCAAGTATGGACCGTCATTGTTGGTTATGAATATTGAGGAAAGGACGGGGGCAGACGATGGCACGCGGAGCCACACGATTGTTCCAGGCGTGCATGACGAAGGGGATGAGCGTCAGTCATGGGAGTGCTTCTCGCGAATCTGATCGCGCGTGGTAGGCGAACGTACGAGCTGCCGACATTCTTCGGCATAAGTGGCGGCTTCGGCAAAAGTTATCAATTCTGAAAGGTCTGGGTGGTAAGGATAGTGTCCAAGAACGAGGAAGGTTCCCGATCATTATATTAACATAACATTCGAACTTAACATTATATCGTTTTGATTTCTTTAGAAAATCGAACATGGCCCCGCAAACGTTCCTGTGGCTTAATCCCTTTTCAGTTGCTCCAAACCTACGGATAGGTTCTTCCAACAGATGTTTTCTTTGTTTTGTAAATGACCTGCATTTTAAGAGGGTATGATGCAGAGATTCACTCTCGTTGCAGTGGAGGCATTGAGTAGACTGTGCCAGACCGGACCTGTGTACATAAAAATGGCAGCATATCCATGGGCTGAATGATGGAGAGTGGGGCGAAGCATTCGTCCGTCCATTCGTTCTTACTTCCATCCGTCCATGCGTCCGTCTGTGTGACCGTCCATCCGCCCAACCTCCCATCCGCGCGTGCGCCTGTTCGTGCGTCTGCTCGTCCACCCGTGCGTCCGCACCTGCGTTCGTCCATGCATCCGCCCCTGCGTCCGTCCATGCGTCCATCCGTCCGTGCAGACATCCATGCGTCCGTGCATGCATCTGTCTGTGTGTCCGTTCGTCCATCTAGTCAACACTCCTAGTACCACCATCTCGCATCTCTTCATCATATATTCCGCATATAGAAGCACCGCCATCTAGCGTACATTCGAAGGAGTAAACGAGAGGTGGCACACTTTCTTACGGCTTGCGCTTCGTGTCTACTTCCCACCTTTAACCACCCCGAGTTTATGGTATATACTAGTTCACTGTATTAATGGCACTGCGACCCAACGCTCGCTAAACCTTTCTAAAACCAAGGAGGTCACGCCCAGCGAGTAAAACGTAGCAACCCTTTCTTATAAGATAGTGCTCAATGTACATGGCAATGGCTGCTAATGGGGAATGAGAGACAGGAGGATTCGGCTTTCAGTTAACGCGCAGTCTGCGAATTTTTTTA